ACTTACCCGCTCGAGCGTACTGCAAAACAGTCAAAAGTGCTGGATGTGCAAAAATCACGCTCGATTGGGCGCTCGACACCCGCTCGATCTTGTGACACAAGGTCCCACTCGAGCGTTAATTCTTCCACTCGAGCGAACTTCAAAACACAACAAAATGATGGGAGCACGATTTTCAAGCTCGAGCGCCAGTAACCCCGCTCGAGCGTGAGTCCAAATTCTGGAAATTCCAGATTTGAACCTCAAGCTCAAATCCAACTTCAAATGTGTCAAATTCAATTCCTTTGGGGCCCTTTTTCTGGAAAACATTTGCAAATACATAGAATAACATGATTCAAAGCTCAATTTGTAGAATCAAGGCCCAAGGGAAGATCAATTCAACATGGTTTTCAAACCAATTTTCATGAACATAATTCAAACATGACATGCATGAATTTAAAACAATTCAAAGCTTCCATTTCATGCTCTAATGAGCCAATTCTTACAAAGACAAGATGAATCCATGGTCTACTTTCAAAATATGGACATGCATGTACCAAATTCCATGAAAACAACTTAAAACTCATCAATCTAGGCATGCATGCATGATATATACTAAAATTCAACAATTAAGAGCCATAACTTGGCTCTAGACTTTAACTTTGCTCTAAACCATGCAAGAACAAGCTTAAACACAACAATGAAAGGTTAAATTCCCTTGCCTAAGCTCCAATACAAGGTGAGGAAGCTTAATTTGCAACCTATATACCAATTCTTCAAGCCAATGCACAAAATCAAGTTGAATTCACTCCAAACCTCTCACTCTCCTCTCGTGGTCGGCAATAACAAGGAAAGAGGCTGAGCAAATGTTGAATCTAAGTGTAATAAGGCTCCAATATTTTAATAAACAAAGGCCCCACTAGATGGCATTTAAGTAATAAGTCCAACTCTTATAATTCTTTACCATTTAATATAATTTAATCATACCAAATCGATTTTCAGATAAATATGCCTTAAAATCCCATAAATTCTAATCAACACAAATCATCAATCAATTTCAGATTCGGCCGCCGATAAGGCCTTCAATTCGCAATTTAAACACAAAGACATGAACAGATAATCAAACAGTCAACAGATAGACATACAATTAAACAGATATGCTTAATCAATTCCGTTCCAGATTTCAGTCAGTCAGTTCAGTATTTCAGTAGATTCAATTACTTATCATAATCAGTCTCAGTTTAGCAGTAATCAGTAGTTAATCGGTAAACAGGGGTGAGGGTTATTACAACCAAGACCGGTGTCGACCCCAGAACAAGATTTTCAAGCTTTCAAACAACTTTTCAACGCGAACAAGCGTGAATGAGCAATCCCAACAAGTTTAAATAAATTTTCACTCATCCAAAACCAAGATACAACAACACGAAAGATTCCCAAAACATAATACATGATTCAAATACACTTCCCAAAAGTTTTAAAAAGGGCACAAGTGCTACATAAGTTATTGAAAAAAGTTTTGGAAATTAAAAATTTGTTTGGTTATGAGTTTTAAAAATAATTTAGTGATGATCTGCAAATTTTTTTTAATGAGAGGAGAGAGAGAAAAAGTAATTGATTGATTTATTAATAATAAAAACAAAAAAGAGAAGGAGAGAGGAGAAAGGAGAGAGAAAAAATTAATTTTGAAAAGAGTTTTGCAAATTGATAAATCAAACATGTGTTTTTTAATTTTTTGATCCAAATATTAATTTTAAAACTACACTAACTAAATAGTACTGTTGTGTTTGGGTAATTTGACTAAAATAAGCTTTTTTTTTTCTTTACTCTTTTTTAATTTCCACCCATTCTGACATTCCCAACATAACCTAAATAAATTTAGAGGAGTGGAATTTGCTACCTAGATGAGAATTATTTGAATCAGAAAGGATGGAGTTGTTGAGACTTATTAATATCATTGCATCTGGTCCCTCAATCAGGTTGGAGATCAATGATTACCCTAATACTGTTTGGTTGGGAAATTTGATGAGGGATTTAGAAAGGCAAATGAAAAAGATAGGTGAAATGTGGATAAAACATACCTATATTGCACTTAGTTTCTCACACCTTTTCCCTTTCTTTTTCTAAATCCTTTCTGAAATCCCCCAACCAAGCGGTGGGCTGCCAAATCATCAGGTGCATTCTCTGTATCCTCTCTTTTCAAATCAGTTACTGATCGTGTTGGTTCTAACCCCAAATTAATTAAAATGCTATGGAATAAAACTTTACCACCTAAAGTTCATTTCTTTGGTTGGCTTACTAGGAAATACAAAGTGAAAACCGCTGTGTTCCTCCAAAGAATTGGTATACTAAATGGAAGCACCTCCACTCTTTGTGGCTTGTGTAAGAATGATTAGGAAACTGTGCTTTATGTGTTACTTCATTGCTCCTTTGTTTGGAATGTTTGGTCTGCATTATTACAATGGTGGGGTATGCAGTGGGTCACTCCTAGCTCCATTGAGAGATTTCTGATATGGTGGGAAGGAGGTAATTTCAAGAAACAATAGAAGATAATCTGCAGAGCTATCCCTCTAGCAACTCTGTGGTCTATTTGGAAGCTTAGGAGTGAATACGTGTTCAATGATGCTAAACCCGATATCTGGGACCTTTCTGAACTTATAAAAATCAGAGTAGCAACTTGACTAAAATCCTCATCCAAGAAGTGGCATTACTCTGTAAATGACTTTGTACACAATCCCAATTAGATAAGAGTATGCTTGGTCATTTGGATGCTTGTAGTTTGGTGCTTGTGTTGTATTGTTGTTTTGTTCTTGTTTTCCCTCTACCCAAGTTGGTTGCTCGCCAACTCTTAGCTTGAGCTAGCATATGATTGTATAGCCTTCCTAGTGTCAACCTAATTGGATTAGGATGGTTTATTGTTATGATCTTTGCTCTTACCCCTCTATTGTTGTTTGTTCTTATGTATTGGTCCTGTTTGGTGTACCTGTTAAAACAAATTATAGATTATAACTTAATAGATTATAGATTATGACTTTAATCAGAAACTGTTAATCTGTTTGGTATAACTGTTGGATTATAGATTTAAATTGCTGAGTAGTATTTGTTAAATAAGCTGCGAAGTAGCTTTTTCAATTAACTTTTATTTTTTATTATTCAATATTTGTCTACACTTCTCATAAAAATATTAAGAATATTTTATAATCCATTTGGATCTTTTTCTATTTTTAAAAAAATAAAAAATAAAAAAATCTAAAAATATAACCGTGAATTAACATGCCCACAGCAAAAGTTGATAATCAGAAGAGGTGAGCAGCTTCTCAAAATCAGTTTTTCAAAATCATCTTTTTTGACTTAAAATAAGTTATTAGAATCAGAAACTGTTTGAAATAAATTTAACCAAATAGTCCAAAATAACTTTTTAAAAGCCAGAAACCATAATTTGGCTCAAAAAAGCCCCACCAAACACCCCCATTATATGTTTGAACTTATTAATAAAGTTTTTTTTTTTTTTGCTAATAATTAAAAAAAATAAAAAAAAAGAACAAGCTATACATATGCTTAGTTAAACTGGTAAACTACCAATAGATCCTAATATTTTGATTTAATTCTCATCAAGAACCATTGAAAATAAGTCTTATTGCATATGTCGCTAAAAATTGACAATTATTGACTTTTTTTGTTATAATTTTTATAAATTGCCACAAAAACTTACAATTAGTGACGATTTTTTAAATTATCGCTAAAACTTATAATTAATAATATTTTTTGTGACAAAATTTTCAAACTATCGCTGAAAATTAACAATTAATGACTTTTTTTTAATAATGTTTGAAAAAAAAAACTATTAATTATCATAAGATTTATTAGACAATAAATCTATCTATTAAGACCTATACATATATCCTCCAAATTAAATTAACTTTGTGCTTGGATCATTTAAATAAAATAAAGCTATTTTTTCCTTTTTCTTTTTAAAATCTTCAACAATTCGATGATCCAAACATAACCTCAATAAATCCATATCTTTTTTGCACTACCACATCTCGTGTCAGTTGGTGTTTAAAGGTTTGTCTTTATTCCTAAACGCTAGTCATTTCTACTTGCACTAACCTATTTGAGAAGAATGGTAGATTTACAAACACAAAGTCAACGCGACTGGCTTCCTCCAATTTCAGATGAGATTGAAGGATATTGTTAAGCCTGTAGAGGCTCGTCATTAGTCTCATTTTGATAATTTAAATTATTTAATGTATAAAACTTATTGAGTATTATATGCATATAAAAAATTATGTTGATCAGATATCAATAGTTATTTCATCGGATTAGATTTCTGTCAACCGTTTATATTTTCCCCATCTATTTTTTTATACAAAACTGATTTGATTACGTAACTATTGATAAGAGACTAGAGGGAAACTAGACACAAGGCAAAATAATAATAGTCCATCCATCAAAAAATAATAGTCCCTTTCAGAAAATTTAATTTTGTTTGATAGTATAATTATTACATTTTAAAAATACTAATTTTTCAAAATTACCTTTTGGTAGTACTTTTTTGGGAAATAATAATTGTCATAATTGTACTTTTTGTATTATTAATGAATTGGAAAGATGGGTAAAATAGTAAATTCATATTATTTTGTTCCTTAATTTTTGAAAAGAAACTAATATTTTGGGACAATAAAAATAAGATATGAGACTAATATTTTAAAATGAATAGAATAATAATAATAATAATAATCTAGCATCAAAACTGAATTTGCTATTAAAACTGCCACGGTTTACTGATATAAATAAAACATAAAAATAAAATTCACCAGTGCAATTAGCCATTTTCCTCTCAAATTTTTTGGGATTAATTAAAAATAAAATTAGTTCCAGAACTAGATACATCATAGCCACACTTATTAACAAATGGAGAATACAAATTCCATTAGTCATTATTTTCTTGGGGCTTCTTTTGAGATAAAATAGCCTGATAAATCATAATCAGCAAGCAAAGCAACAATGAATCACTTCAAAGCACTCTAACCAGCTACAGGAACCTGAACAACAATTCCACTCTTATCAACCCAAACGCGAACCCTAGTGCAAACAAAATCACCGGTAACTTTGGTTCCTATCAGCAGAATCACGGCTTTAACCTGATAATTCATCTCCCTCTCGATTGTCGCTGCTGCTATTTTGCCCTGTGCCCCAAGGAGCTCAGGCCATGCAGCCTTACCTGCATAAATATAACTTGTATTAGCCTTCTGCACATAGTTAAATTAATTTATCAGAAATGTATCATTATTAGGGCTGCAAAGGAATCGAACCGAGCTGAACTTTAGTATGTTTGGGATTGTTTATTAAGATTTTAACGAACTCGAATTCGACTTCGAGCTTAATAAAAATTTAACAAACCTAGCTCAAGCTGAGTTGGCTTAAACTTGACTCAAGCTCGAGTCTATTCACGAGCCTTAACGAGCCAAAAAATTTATAAATTCATACTTGTGTATAAGACTAAAGTTACCATTAAAATTTTGATTATACAATTATATATACAATATATATAAACATTCTAAAAAAAATGAAAAAAGAGTCAATATTTTACCAAAATAATAATATTTACTACTACTATTATATAAATGTACTATCTATAGTTAACTATTATTTACATTTATATTTTTTAAATATATAAATAACATATTTCTCTTATTTTTTATACATATTTTTATATTATTTAATATATAAATAATAAACATTAAACGAGCCAGTTAATGAGCCAAGTTTTAGAATGTTTGTTCTTGTTTATTAAAAATATAATGAGCTCGAGCTCGAGTTCGAGCTTGAACGCAAAAAAATAAATAACTAAATAAAAAATAAAAATTAACGAACCAAATTTGAATGAGTTCTTATCGAGCCGAGCTTGAGCCTGCTTGCAAACGGCTCTATTCATTTGCGGCCCTAATCATTATCTATCACAGTATAACTATGTATCAACTAATCTTTTGTTTTCTTTTAATAGGAAAAGAATAAGAATTATTAACTCAATGTAGAGAATTAAACTTCATAAGTACATTTTTATAGAAAGGAAAAAAAAAAAGGCATGTCAACATGATTTAAACCAAATCCTTGGCAAAACCTAATCTTTACCTGGGCATAAGGCCTCGGGCATTTTCAGGTATTATGCTTTGCTAGATCTTGCTTGTATTGTCTTTGTGAATTGTGAATGATATGTTGTTGATATGAAAGAGTATTTATAGATGAGCGTTAATCAAAGGCAAATATCACTAGGGTTTTTAATATGTGCCTAAGAGTATATTTTAAGAAAGTACTAAATATGTATATTTATTAAAAATTGAAAAATGTTTTCAAAAGTACTAGAAATCTCAAAAATTCTATCAAAAGTTTTATTAAATGTCTTACATGGGAACCCACAAAATGTGGGTCTCACACCCATGTGAGACATTTGATAAAATTTTTGAGAGAATTTTTTGTATTTCTAGCATTACTCAAATGATATAGCTCATAAATTTTCTACTAAATAAATGACCAAATATCTCACATGGGAGTGGGGTCTACAAAATTGTGGACCCCACACCCATATGAGACATTTGGTCATTTATATGGTAAAAAAATTTGGTATCCCTTACGTTATCCTTAAAAACTAGCATAACATTAAAAGCTATCTTAATTAAAGATTTTTTTATATATAACAAGACCAAAATTGTCATGACCTGCTCTCCGTACCCAAGGGTTAAGCGTCGTGATGGCCAGTAACTGAAGTTACCTCTGGTCAATTCTTAAACAAATTACTAAACGCAAGCGGAAAAATGTTTAAGTGAGTGTACCAAAATAATCATTGGAGCTTTTCTTTTTATAACAAAAATCCATTGACCAAAAGGCTGATATTTACATATAAAGAATAGAATTATAAATACGATAAAAGTGCTATGTATGTCTATTCTGCAGCCCTGAGTCGAAGACTCTCCAAAAGCTATTTCTGAATTGCATTGTTTCTTGAAAATTGGTAAACATCTCTAAACACATGGCAGAGTGAGAAATATTATACTACGAGCATAAGGGCATAAAATTCACCATGGATAAGTATTGGCTAAACAGATCTTGATATTAAAATACAAAATATATAATACGGAAATAATTTGACATATAGTACAGAAATCATATAAACAAAATAATCGTAATCACGGTACAGAATGAAAAAGAACAGATGTATGGACTCAAGAGATGGCTCGTACGAACTCTAAAGGTGGCTCCCACCGTAGTGTAACACTTAGTTCCGTACAGCATTTTGCTCCGCACCAGAAATCATAATCACGGTACAGAACATAATAGATGTATGGACTCAAGAGGTGGCTCGTACGAACTCTAGAGGTGGCTCCCACAATAGTATATAACTTAGCTCCATACAACAATTTGCTCCACACCAGAAATCAGAGTGTCAGTGGATCTATGACAGACAGAGGGTCACAAAGTGAGAGGGCCAATGGTTATTTAAGTCCCCTAAGGCATGGAACCTCCGTGGTGGTACTTAAAAAATAATTACTCAAAACATATTTCAATAAATAGTTATATCCATGGGTTTTTCTCATTATATAAAATAAGGTTCATAAATAAATAACATAATTTATAAAACACAATTTACATAAAATAAACTATGGTAACTTAAAACATACGTAAAATATATTATGGTGACTTAAAGTATAATATAATTGCTGGAACAATCTTCTGTGTAAAATAAAAATGAAATAAATGAAACAAATAAAAAATAAATTACTTACCGAATTTATTTTACCGAACCGAATAAATAATTAAAAGATCAAGTCGAGTGTGTAACACACTCCTTAAGATAGATTCACCCCGCTTTGGTACTTACGGACTAATGGCGTCTATCTCCTAGGATACAATGATCTTCACAAATTGCAGTAGCACTCCAACCAATTTGTACGGCGAACCAAACTTGTGTTCTATACTCTCTTAATATTTTCCTTAAAAATAGTATGAAGAATAATGCAACCAAAGAGTAAAACCAGGAGGAAAGAATATTTCAGAATATTTTTCACGATGTTTTTGGATGTAAAAAACTGCTGGAACATGTCTAGAAATTTATAGACCCGAACATGTGTTATTTTCAAACTGGAGTAGATTGGATTTGAAACCAACAGGTGCATTACTGTTTGAACAGATAACTGCTGGGCAGTTTTTATCTATTGGAAAACAACTAGCAAATTTGAATCTGTCTACCAGTTTTGAATCTGTCCGGTAGTTAAAAAAAAACCTGTTTAATAGTTGGGAATTTAGTAGAATTCGGAGGCACAATTTTTGGACAAAAAATTTAAATTCAACTACATTTTGAAATTCAAATAATTTCCTGCAAGATTATGAAAAAATTCAAATAAATTTTTTTCAAAAAATTAATGTTAGAACCGACCCAACCTACAACCCACACCCGCGCCCAACACGGCTCGGCTTGGCCGGTCAGCGGCGACGGGACGCGCGTGTGTGGTGGTTTGGGCTAAGGTTCACTTTGTCCATAACTCCTCCATTTTACAAACTTGAGGTGCCCCTTGGGGCCCAATCCAAGTTAGTACACCAAGAGCTCATATACTCACTTAAAGTTTCAATGTGGGATAAAACTTACAAGAAAACCCACATTTAATTTTTTAAAAGTCCATTCCACGAACCAGAAAACGACGTCAAGTTCCTATTCACTCATAAATGGTTTTGACAAACCGTATTCAACGTGTGACTTGCCATGCAGCAAGGAACACGCCACCTTTTTGGACCCACCCAAAAGACATTTGGGACCCACTCAAAATTGGGCTCAAAGTTGGCCCAAAATAAGCCTATAAAACCAAAATTTCCAACAATCACATGAATGGAATTTGACGAAGAGAAAATGCAACAATATGATCTAATTACAGAAAGTACAGAAATTGGAAATATTCTGCAAAGGATAGGTAGCTTTTGGCTTTGAACATTCCCTTATGAGACACTATTGGATTTACTAGCTAACTAGTGAACATGATGTCTTGAACTATTCATTCATTTGTGTAAACCAAGACAATAGAACTCACATAATATATTCCCAGACACAGTTTAGTTCTCATTATTGTGTTCATTTTGGCCCTGAACAACCTGATCTTTCATGAGTGCTCTAGAGAATTGTAGCCTTTCACAAATCCCATAAAACCGGCCCAGTTCACACTCATATAGGTGATTCTTGTGAAGAGTATCCTACCATACTCCACTAGGTTTGCCTAGATATAAGAATCATTAAAATTTTACTTAAGCTAAAACGCTGCAGACATCACTATTTCATTATAGAAATTGATAGGAGTTTGAATCCCCAGTGATCCTTTTAAGTCATACACAACTCGGTTATCCCTTTGAACCTAGATCTTGGGATCTCCAATCAACTAGGTTGGGTTGCTGTTGTGGTAACTCTTATTTAATAGGCTTAAGTCCCATCCCCCTCGATGAATTCTCAACTAACTCTCTCTCTAACCCTTTGGTTAGTGGATCTGCTATGTTGTCTTTAGACTTCACATATTCAATGGAAATAATTCCATTAGAGAGTAGTTGTCTCACAATGTTATGTCGACGATGAATATGTCGTAACTTATCATTATACATATGACTCTGTGATCTACCAATTGCTTATTGACTATCACAATGTTTGCATATAGCAGGCACCGGTTTTGGCCACATTGAAATATCTTCAAGAAAGTGGCGAAGCCATTCTGCCTCTTTCCCAACTTTATCTAAAGTTATGAATTCTGATTCCATAGTAGACCTAGCAATGCAAGTCTGTTTGGAAGATTTCCAAGACACAGCCACACCACCAAGAGTAAAGACATACCCACTGGTGGACTTTGAGTCTCTAGCATCTAATAGCTAGTTTGCATCACAGTATCCTTCAAGTATTGCAGGATATCTAGCATAATTCAGCCCAATGTTACGAGTAAATCTGAGGTATCTTAGAACCCTTATAATTGCTTTCCAGTGTTGTACTCTTGGGTTACTCGTATATCTACTTAATTTACTTACTGCATAAGCTATATCCGAGCGAATGTAGTTCATCAAGTACATTAAGCTTCCAATAATTTGGACATACTCTAATTGAGAAATACTTCCTATACATTCTTAGAAAGAAACAAATTAACATCCACAGGTGTTCTAGCAAGATGATCATCATTTTTGCTAAATTTGTTAAGTATT